TCCTCTCTCTCCCCCCACCTCGCTCCACTATATACACACACACACATATACACACACACACCCGCACCCCTGAGGCCCAGAAGGCCTCCATCTTTGGCATCAATCTGTCGGACTCAGCTTTTCTTCGCGAGACTGCGGCTCCTTTCTGTACATGAATTAAATATGGCGTCGGTCTCCCTGCTGAGTCCCAGGACGTTCACAGTACCAGTACCGTGGGGGAGGGGAGGGCCCTGCAGGAGGCAAAGACCCTCCAGGGCTGCCCCTCAGGCGGAGGGCGGGCAGGGCAGGGGCTGGTATGGAAAGGTCGGGCCTGGCTTCCCCTTGGCCTTGGTATTCGAGGTTCAGCCACCTGTGGAGGTGCCCTTGGGGACACAGCAGGCAGGCTCGGAAGGGGTGCTGGGGAGGCCCTTCTCCAGGGGCCCAGGCCCCTCAGACTTCCAGCCCCTGTGCTGGCCCACCCCACCTTCCTCTACCTCAGGCTGGCATTTACACTCGCCTTCTCATGACCACCCTTTGGGGCGGCTGGTGCCAGGATCGGGTGGAGCAAGGACAGGGCCACAGGGGCTGGGAAGGAGGGCAGGGAGGCTGTGCCAGGCCCAAGGAGCCAAGGCCAGCCTGGCACCAGTGCCGGGTGACCCTGCCTATCTGGGTGCTGTCCTCAGGACCCTGGCCCCGGGCTGGCTTATCAGCACGCGGGTGCGACAAGCAGGAGCTGCTCTGGGGAAAGGCTGGGCAGGTAGGAGCTCGGGTCAGAGCTCCAAGGGCAGTGCGTGCTCCCACCTTCCAACTTAAGGCAGTCAGTCCCCTTCAGACTAGGGAGACGGCGGGCAGCGGAGGCGCAGGAGTGCCCCTGGCGGTGCCAGGCCGCCGGACTCAGCAGGCATCCAGCAGCATACAGGGCCTCTGGCCAGGAGGGGGAATGGGAGCAGGTGGGGTGATGGAGTGGGGATAGGCCGACTATTTCCCCGGTGGCCCTGGGGGCACCTGCCCCTCAGGTGCTTTGGCACACAAACTGGCACCCAGGATTCCAGGGTCCTGGGAAAGGTGCCATGTCGCTTCCTGCTCTCAGAGGGGAGAAGGGAACGAGGGGCCCATAACGGGATCTACCAAACTGGTGAGACAGGCAGGCCCCGGGGGAGGCATGTCCAGGGCACCGTGCTCAGCCCGGCAGCTGGGTCCTCCTGGCCCCGTGGGCCCCACACTGGTGCCCGAGGGCTTTGGGATGGAAAAGCGTCCGAGGTCCTTCCTTGCCCCTCACCCCCTCCCAGGGCAGGTGATGGAGGGGTTGGTGTCTGGGCCGAGGCCACCAGGGAGACATGGGGAGCAGGTCAGGACCCAGCTGTGTCCAGCAGGGCTGCCAGAGGTCTTCTGGGCTGGCCTCGCCCTCGATCCTCCGTCCTCTGTCCTCCGAGGGCCGCATAAGCCACCCTCAGTGGGCCCTCTCTCCCTCTGGCCGCAGTGGGGTGGGCGCAGCTCAGAAGATGCTCTGTCGCCGGCTCTTCCCTCGTCCTGGAGAACAGAGGGGACTGCAGTGAGGCAGCCGGGGCCAGGGGGAAGGGCGTGCTCCAGAATGAGGGGTAGGGCGAGCAAGGGCACGCACTTGGTAGCCGGTCAGTCCTGGGTTCAAATCCTGTCTCCGCTACTTAGGAGCTGCATGCAATTGAGACTTAACCTCTTCACAGCCTCCGTTGCATTGACTGGGGAGCAGGAATAGTACCAACTTCAGGTGTTTTAAGGACTAAATGAGTTAAGGCATGGAAAGTGCCTATCACTTCCAAGGCCATCAGCTGTTTCCGAGACCAAGTACAGCTCTCCAGGGTGCAGGCTAGTTGGAGAGCTCAGAGCGTGCAGAGAACGCACAGAGAGCACGTGCCTTCAGGGCTGTGAGAGGCAGCCAGTTCTGTGGGGGTGGGGGTGGGGG